TTTTATTACTATGTGTGCACAAATCCAAAACACACATGCTGTGTTGATTTAATCCACAACCACAGTGCTTTTATGTGTCCATTTTTGCTCGGTTCTGAGGTCTCACTGCTTCCTCTTTTTTCCTGCTGAAGTAAAAATTTTCTCCCTTTCTTGCAAGCAAAACTATTCCTGAAAAATAATTCTGTTTACCCAGAAATGGTTCCCAGCCTTTACACTTGGTGAGCAGAAAGTAATACGTTCTGTGAAGGATTTAGACTGAGAGAGCTTTGGGGAGAGAGCACTGCAGTGCTTAGGCTCATTTCTCACACTCCACCACAATGGTTAGTCCACACAGCATGATGAGTATGCGCAGGGCTCCTCTGCTTCCCTACTCTGTGGTTTCAGTTTCTAAATGGATGACTCTAACTATAAATGTATAATGGGCTTGAAAAATAATCTTATCCAGGGCAAATGGAAAACCAAAATCATCAACTTTGGAAAATGAAGGGTTCTGCTAAAAATAACTGTGGTATTTCTGGTTTTGCCAAAACCAGTATTTTCAAATAAGATGGGGACTAATGTATGTCAGTGGCCACTTCCTGAGCTTGAAGACAGATAGCAACAGTCTCCTTCTCCTTCCAAACAAAAACCAGCAGAATGAAATTACTAAGTGCAGACAATTTAACTCCTCCATGATAAACTCACCATTAGCACTAACCAGACAGGCAAGAATCACACCAAATATAGACTGCTGTTCTTTGGAAGACCCATAAAGAACAGCTGAGAAATGGGAGAGGAGGTGATTGGAGAGGCAGAAGGACTGGAAAAGACTGAAGAGAGGACCAAGCAGCAGAGACTCTTTTCTGAAGCCTCAGGAGAAATGCTAGAGGGATGGGGAAGTTAAAGCTCCTTCACTATTAGGGGATTATAGCAGCAGAAGAAGCAATACCTTTCCCCTCTGAGCACTTGGAATACAAGGGAATAATAAAACTTTTAGGCATCTACAGGCAAGGCAAAATTCACAGTGAATAGGCAGCATTTATTCCTCAGACTTGGGTCAGGAATGATGGCACAGCATTACCTCCCCAAACATCTGCCTCCTGGGAGAGTCAGTTGTGTGCCACCCAGCTTCCTCAGAGGTGGGAAAATTGCTGCTTTCCTCCTTCTTGTCTGTTTTTTATTTCACGCTATAGTTTTGTCAAACTCAGAAACTGCCGAAACCCCAAGAACTTTCAAAATGGAACTCAGAAGCTTAAGAAAAACAAAGGAAAGCTTCAACCTCCATGGCTCAACTGCTATGCCAAAGTGCATCTTAGGTAATTTTTAAAAATTATAGCTCCAGAAGGGTGTCAAAAATGAAACCTCATAGCTTGATAGTTGAAGTATGACAGTTTGCTATTAATGCAACAGAAAAAATTAGCTTCCTCATAGCATTTGTTCCATGGGTCACATGAAAAGAAAGGGCAAAGACTTTTTTATAAGTAGTATTTGGTAGCAAATGTTAAAAGAAGTCAAATACCTAATTATCTTATTTGAAGAGAGGAACAGCTGGTATGTTTCAGTGAAGATAAACATCCAGAGTCTGTCCTTGCTGTGTGAGAGTTGATCTTTTTTCTTCACAGGCTTTTCTGAAATTAGCCACTGCCTTACTTGGCAGCAGAAGAGGAAGCTACTGCTAAGCATCAAGTAATTAATTCTTAAGTTCCAAGAAAGGTAATATTAAATATGCTTATCCATATATTTTTCTGAATTATGTATGCATGGAAAGATAGGAATTGTGATGAAGCTGTGGAGGGAAGGGAAGGGAAGGGAAGGGAAGGGAAGGGAAGGATGCAAGATTCCTCTATTTTAGAGGGGTTTTTTTTCAGAAAAAATGTTAAATAACAGCAATTAAAAAAAAAAAAAAAGTCCTGCTAGTAAGATGAACTGTCACACTTTCTGGAGAAGAGTATAAATGAGCATTTTAAAACAGAAGACTTTGTAGACACAGATTGTGTTTTCCACATCAACTGCAACTTTTGCTTTTGTAATTTATACTGTAATTTGAAAATGCCAATTGAAGGGTTATGCAAGCTTCTGCTGTGAAACAAAAACTGGAAGGTGCTTCCATATTTCTCTCTAAATTAAGATGAAGCAAAGAGATGAAAAATATTCTAATTAATGGAATTTCTAAAAAGCCTTATTTTCAAGAAATTGTACAGTAGCTTCCTTCTGTGATCAGCTTTATATTCTTGATTGAATATCTCAGCTTGTTTTCTTCCTACTGATCAAAACCATACCCACCCAGGTCCTCCATGTTTGTGCACTAATCTTTCAGATGACAATCTTCAGTGCCCATGTCAGAACTGGCAGCATGAGCAGTTCCTGTGCACTACATGGCTCGTGGCTTTTGAAGATGGCTGAGTGAATGTCACTCATTCCCAGTGCTCCTCTTGGAGGTTACACACCTCTCTTACAGGAATGCTAGAAAATACTCCATGCTTTCCTGTAATGCCCACTCAAGTAGCCAGTAGTGGGGACCCCAGTGGCAAAGGTCCCCCCTTACCTCCTCATGCCACAAGCCAGCATTTGGCACATCTGTGCTCTGAGAGCCAAGCAGAGGTCCCTGCCTGCCTGTCTCCCTTGTTCTTGACACCATCTCTCCTTCTTTCTGCAGAAGGCTGTCACAGGTTGGTTCACACCCGTGCTTTGTGGCTCCTGCTGGAAGCCCAGGGCGCAATGAAGAGTGTAATGCAACTAGTAGTGTGAGCAGCTGCTTCCTACCACATGCCTGCCAGCAGATATAGGTGAGGAAGCCAAGAATGTGTGTGTATAGAGGCACATATGTTACCACTCTCCTTCCTATTGTCCTCCCTGGCCAGCTAGGTCAGAAGTCAGCAGCAGGGGTGCCAGCAGGGTTTGAATGGGGCACAGCAGGATCGAGGGCTCGGGGCCAAGGGATCTGCAAGAGGCAGCATTTCCTGGCTCCCATGGGGTTCGCCTAGACACAAGGCATGATGGCCCCCAACAGCATGATGTCTCTTCAAGGGACAAGATTTCTCAACTCTTGAGTTTACAGGCATAGCCTTTATGGGTCAGCCTCTCATTTGAAAAAGCAAAGCCTGGCACAGCCCTCTGAAGACACTGCCAACCTACAGCTGCTAATTTATGAATTACTAATTCATAAATCTAGAGCTTTGGGGAGGTCTCTTTGTCAAAAAAGCAGCACAGACTGTCTCTTTCTGACAAGCAGAAGCAGTACAGCAGGGAGTTAGAGGAGTTATGAGACACACCCCACTCCCTGCTCTCCAGCACTCATATGTGTGGGTTTAAGTCTTTTTTTTTTTTTTTTTCCTACAATGATTCAGAGGCACCACTCAGCTGTTTGACCTGCTAGACTTAGGACTACTGCAGCACCTCATGAATATCAATCCTCTCCCACCCTATTCACCTTCATCAAATGAACATCAAAGACTCTCCTGAAGTGCTTGGGAGGGAAAGTTAACATTTACTGTATGTTAAATGTGAACTGGATACACTTCAGTTCACCTTTGCTTTTACATACAAGTCAGAAGGCTGAATCATACTGGGACAGGACTGACCTACTCAGGTTTTTCTCAAGTTATTGAGGTTGCCTAGTTATTCCTTTTAAGTCAGACTCTTAAAGAGTCTGGCAGACAAGGCTGCAGGGGAGCTTCAATGTTTCTGAAAATCTCATTAGGCATCTAGCTGTAACCTGAACCCACAGCCTTAGCATACAAGTATTTGACCTTTCATTACTAGACCCATGTTCTGCAGAGGAGATGCTATTGTGAAAGCTCTGCCCTGTCTCCTGTGAACATTCTCAAACAGCTACATTACACATCCTGAGGTACTGAGAAACTGCTGCATTGCAAGGAAGAGAGGACAACGTAGAAAATTTAAAGAGGGGTCCTTTCTGCTTCTAGTACCTGGGACTAGATATACAATCATTCTGGTTTCAGAAAAAAATTGGACACTTCCTGATGCTTAGACCCATTTATTCAGAATTAACTGCATGTCTCTGTACTCAACTGAGACATCTTCTGCACAGCCAGTCCCTCTGCCAGCTGCTAACTAAGCCTCAAGGATGGAGGGAAAGAAGAAAGAAGCAAGCTGCATTTTTGCCTTGTCTGCCAGACTTCTCCCTAAGACTGAAAACCTAACTTGCAAAGAATGAGTTTCCTTACATGAACATTTTTAAGGCATAGTATAGCAAATGCTAGTCCCCAGCCCTGCAGCAGCAGCTTCTGCTAGGGCAGATGTAGGGATCATAAAACCAAGGGAGGGAAAAAAAGTAAATAAAAATCTTGATTCCTTACATTCTTGATTCCTACAAGGCAGTGTAAGAGCACAACAGGATTCTGAACTGCATAATTTTATTTTTCATGCTAAAGGCAAATAAACCACCCTAGACACTGACTCCTTAACCCTCAGGACAGATTATGAGCACAACTCGCTCATCACTGGCACAACCCCCCAACTCTGAACAGTCAGTTTATTTAAAACCTGCAAGCTAGATTTGAGCACAGAAAGGTCTAGTATGCCAAGTTGCAATCCAAAGTGACTCTTACTACCAGACTATAAACCCCAGAAAATAGGGCTAAGAGTTCATTATGAAGCTGGTGACAGACTCCTAATTATAGTGGTGCTATCAAGCATGATAAAGGCTGGTTGGTTTTATTATAGTCTCATCCAAAGACTTGTTGGATGCTGGATTAGCTCATCTTTTCATTCCTGTTGAACTGCCATATGTTTCTTTTTCTCCTTTATGTAGCATTTGGCAGGAGTTATTTGTCAGCATTTAGAAAAAGAAAACATGTCTCCAGAAACTTCATTTCTAGTTCTTTCCCTGCAAAGTTTCTTGTTTTACCTGTTAAAACCTTAGAAATTGCATTTTCATGTCTAAAGCAAAACAGGGTAAGAAAAAGTTACCATTAAAACATAAAATATAGACAGCCTTAAACCGTCCTGATCACAACACTGCAGTGTAACATCTCAGTATACTTTAAGGAAACAGATACCTCCATAAAAAGCTGTCTCTTTCTCCCTCCCCTTCCACATCAATTCTGCCCGATTTCATATCCACTTCAAATATCTGCAAGTAAATCAGAGCAAAATGCAGCATTTTACTAACAGATTTCATTATTTATTCATCACTACCACCTACCAGCATTGTTGCAAAGATCCGAGTTACACAGAACAAGTCACAGGAATAAAAACAATTTTAATTCAGGCTTTTTTAAAAAGCCTCGTTTGCAACTGTAAATCCACTGAATGTCACAGGCTTAGCTAATATACCACAGGAGAAAGGATTTAATTGCTTCTAATGCAGGATATCAGAGAGCTGGAAAGAACTAAGCAGCACCTGTATGGAGACAAACCTGGAAACCAGAATAGTACTGTGGCTGGACAGAAAAGAGAGCTCCAGGAGCCATTTCTTGACTTCATAGACTTTGGAGAAAAACTGAAGCAACGGCAGAGCTCCACTGCCCTTCCTCCCCTCCCTCAGCTTCCTCTTCAGTAAGAGCACTTCTGCTATGGCAAACAAGGCATTCTTCTGAAGGCATCTCCTGTGAGTGACATAGCCCCCAAACAAATGTCATGGGCTCATCTCCAGACAGAAAGAAACACAGTTTATTTCAGAGGACAAAAAAAGAAACAGCCTTGAAAGGGCACAAAAAGTGACCTAGGGGCAAGATGATGAGAACTAATAGAGCACTTGTGAGAAAAGGAAGGTCACCTGCCACAGTTGCTATTCAGCTCTGCTAAGTGGTTTTATTGATGGGTCATTAAAGGATTCTCATCCACCTTCAGCCTCAAAGCAGTTTTATAAAACAGACAATCAGGAAAAAAAAAAGAAAACAAACAAAAGTGCCTTAGGTTTAAAGTGTCTTAACCTGATATCATTATGCACCGAGAAGTGCATAATGACGGTATGAATTGTAATTAAATTTTATTTTTAAATTTAAATGCAGTCTTCCTGCAGCCATGCCTTATCACCAAATGAAAGTTCATGTCTTCGGATAGCTGAATCCCACAATAATCCAGTTTGTCTGAAAATAAGTAGTATAATTGATTTCATGGTTCTCTGAGCCCTTTGGTGTAGGCTTTCAGCTGCCCCACCATTTGCAGGTGTAGATATGTAGTAGATAAAGATTAATGCTTGTGTGCCAACCCAGAGATGCTGAGCCTGCCAATTTTAGGAGCTCTGCAAAACAAGCTGTGAGATGCTCCCACAATTTCAATGTAAGTAGGCCAATAGAAAACTGAATGAATAAGACCATTTTGATGGCTAGGCCATAGCTACTGTAAGCAGTGGACTGGCAGCATAGTTAAAAGCAGCCAGACTTCCTTGCTTTCCCTTTCTTTTCCTTCAGACACTGGAAATGAGTGCTGTAGGGAGGAACTGAAATTTCACTAGCACCTGCAGTAACATGCAGGGATGAGTAGTACCCAGCTTCAACAGTGTCTTTATAGAATACCAAAGAATTACTAAAGAGCCACATGCTAGTGGTGAAAAACCTACAGTGAACAAGAGCAAAAGTAACTTCAGTGTTGATTGCCTGTAGTGTTCTATGATAAATAATGTTATTTCAGCCATTATATCCAGAAAAAAAAAAAAAGATTGACAAACACTATAAATAAATTTGATTTTTGGCTTGCATTTTGTAGCTTAACAGACAGCAGTTACAAGGAATGTATTAAGCTAACTGCTACTGTGAACAATGTATAGGTGCACACACCTCTATTACCTATAGGGTCCTCCACATAACTTATACACACCCTAAAGCTCCCAAAAGCATTCAAAAATTGTCTTGCAAACACTAATGCATTCTGCCCCATTTAAATTTGTCATCCCCCTCCTTTGTATGGCCCAGGCTCAGTCAAGAGCCATAGGGACTTGGGCACTGAATGTCCCCAGTGTCTGCACACAGAGCCAGGCTCCTGGGGCTGGGCAGGAACCATTCTCCGCTCTGAGGACCAGACTTGCACAGCCCGCAGGCATCACCTCTATGGGCAAATTAGCTGCCATGAATTAAAGACCTGCAGGCTGGTGTTAACTGAAATGTTTTCAGAACTTGCACGGCAACCTGTTTTGGTCAATATTCAGAGAAAAGGCACAAGCATCTGTGACAGCAACTCCCCTCTGCTGCCAAATACTGCCTCTGAGCTGTTAAAAGAAAAGGTCACTTAAATTTAACAGGACTAACAAGGTATTTTCTCAGTCCTCTTTCTCAGAAACAGCTGAGTTGCTCTGGCTAAACGCTGTTTTTTTCTTTTTAAACAATAATAACAGAATATTCAGCAAGAGGCAGACACCAAGTTAAAGAAATCTCAATGCAAGCTTTTAAAAATTGGCAAACTTGTAAGTGGCTGAAAATAGAGTCTTATAATGGGAAGTGTCAAACAACCTTGATAATAGGCAGCATTACCAGTCTGCTCTGTAATTCAAAATTATGTTTTATTATAGTGTTAAATATGCCTAAGCTCCATTTACCAGTTCCACCATTGCCAGCCCAAGAGCAGCTGCTGGCCGATGGCAAATTAACAAGTTGTAGTTTTCCTGGTGTAGACAAGAGGATAGTTGTTTCTGGCTTTCAGCAGTTGGAGCAGGTTCATCTCAGCAGTTTTTACAGAGCTGAGCATGTTGGCATATGGCCATTAACACATTTCTCAGGTGGCTCCCTGCAGTAATAAGGTGGCCTGAACATATGAGAAGTAAGATCAAACCATGTTTTTCCAGAAGCTGGTGTAAATGTAGTCAGCAGGTGATCTTGAAGAAAGTAAAAGTACACACATTCCAGAGGTTTTGCTATTTCGGAAAACAAATTATGACTCCAGTAGACACTCAGTAAGCCCAGGGCCTTTACTGTACCACAGGATGAGATTTGTATGGTCAAGTTCACAAAGGGGTCTGGGGACATTTCTTCTGAGACAAAGTAAGAAGTGGTCTGTTCCTGTATTTCCTTCAGGAGAGTGAATGGCCGTTACAGAGCCAAACCATGAAGACCACCAATATTTTCCTGCAAAAGATGACCCACATGAGTTCCCAGTCTAAAAGACTGTCGCTTTTCAAAAATTCAAAAGTTTTTAATGGCCTCCAAGAAGCTCTTCAGATAAATCATGCAAAAGGGCCTTTTCCAAGGTGCCAGAATTGCATGACACCAACCAAGCTTTCACCACTCAGGGCCAGTCTGCAGGAAAGGCTGCCAGTTCTAAGTCTAACATTGAAACTGCAGCTCACATTGTTCCTATGGAATAAAAAAAGGCGGGGATGGACACGATGCTTTTCCTAGGCTGCGTGCCCTGGGGAAGCCAGATTTTGGCCAGCACAACCACCCTGGAAGCAAACAACTACCTTAGGTGTGCCAGAGAGCAGCTGCCCAGCACCAGTGGTACAGAGGATAACACTTCACATGAGGATAGACAGGAGAGCATGAAAGATGAGTAGTTGCTGTCAGCACTGGGCTGGGCACCCACTGGCATCTCTCCCAGACAAGTCTCAGCAGGGAGCTGAGGCAGTTGCTGGCACAGCATCACACTGACACAAACATGACCATATCCCCTTCTTGCCTCCCAGTTAACTCCCTCAGCCACTTTCACACTTTATTCTTCCCTCCACAAATCAAATGGCCCTTCTTGGGGGCCAAGGTTGAGGCATGGTGATGATTTGGAGCTGTGACACATAAGATCCCAGAGGTACCAGGGCTGGACCACGTCATTCAACCTTCCATTTCTATGTCTCCAAAGTGATACTAGTGGTCCTCACTGGCACAGAGTTACAACAATTCATTTTTGAAACTTCAAAGCATCCACTATAACAGTAAAGAATCCAGAGAAAGATTCTGCTAGAAGTATAAAAAAGCAAAAAGAATGGATTCAAATCAATGGTGCTGCTCAGCGCAGCAGTTCCGTCAACTGCACCTTTCGCCCTGGGGATGTCAGGAGGTGCATCCCTGGGTAGTGGGACAGAAACCACTGCAAACACAGGCAGGTGCTGCCCCAAAGGTGGTGAGCATTGGTTTCATCATACTGGCACACAGGGCCAGGGGACAGTTTCCAGCTACTGGTAGTGCTGGCTTCTTTTTTACCTGGTACATGCACAAGTTGAAATGCAAAGTGGGCACTGGATGTTTTTCAGAGAGATTAAATAATCTTTTGATCTTGAGAACAGAGGACAGCATCTTCAGAGGCTGCATGTGCATCTTTTTCTGATGATCAAATCCCTTTGAGGTATTTTAGAGAGGACATGCTCAAAACACCTCAAGTCTCAGGCTGTTTGGCTAATCTAGATTCCAGAAATCTTGTCTGTATTCAGCAAAAGTATGATTTGTTTCTTCAACATCTCTTACGGCCTCTCAGCTACATTTCCCCCATCTCAGAAGCAAACTCCACTTCTCTGATTCTTTGTATGTCTTCCAAAAGCAGAATCTTTTACAAACCAATTCTTGTACACTGGTCCCAAAGGATCAGCTCAACATCTCTGTGGCTTCAGAGTCACGTGTTGCAGGACTCCTGTTGCCCATGAACAAAGTATACCCTGAAAAGCATCCAGAACAGCTGAGTTTTTAATTCTGAGAGGGCCAAGGTGAGATGCTGGTGAACTCTCAAATGATCCAATATGGGAGAGTGAGGAGAAGGGAGAAACAAGCTGTTTTATCATAGGAGGTAATGGGGTAATGAAATAGATCCAAGTTGGACTAAAAACCAAGATTCTCCTGCAAGAAGGAAGCAGTAGAAAATACTTTTTACAAATTGTAACACCATGATAATAGGACAGAGACTCACTAGACTATTTCTTCTCCGGGACTGAGATGCAGCAGGCTGGATTTCTCTTTTAGATTCCAGGTAACTTTTCCATGTACAGTGACTGATGGCTACCATTTTGTTCTGAACTTGTCACTTCTACTTTTCAGAAAACAATCTTAGAAAAATAGCCTTATGAGGCAGAGAAGAAAAGAATTGCAGTCCTTCTAAATAGAGGCTCTAACAAGTATCAAGTGCTGTGACTGAAGGAGTAGCTGTACACTAAGTTTTTTTAAGCAGAAAACATGGCTTAAGGAATTCCCACATATGCCTCTGTATTCTTCAACA